TTTAGTAAAAGCATGGTTTGTGACGTGACGGGTACTTAAAGCTTTACCATATTTACAAGATGAAAGGGTTTCAGGAAATAGTGAGGATACAATAAGTACCTGGAGCAGTCTGGCATATGAAGTACATCAGCTGGTCGCAGTTTCTGTCGGACCACTTGTCTTTCCAGGCTAAGTACGCGGAGTAAATGACGCAATCTGCCCTGCCCTCGGCCTCATAGTCGTCCGGTTGTCCCGGACCCCAGGAGCTGTACGACCCAAGAGGAGAGCCGTCCATCCACTCAAACTTTCCCTCTTCGCACCGATCGTGCAGGCCGAACCAGAAGGGCCGATACTCGCTCACGGAGTTGCGCAGGGAGATAAGGAAGGCGTCGGTCTCGGCGTCTCGGGGCATGGCGAGGGCGCCGCCGTCTGCACGACAGGCCGCGGCTGCATTGTCGAAGGTCTTGATTGTGTCGAAGGCCTTGAAGCAGGTCCCACGCCACTTGGTGTAACCTTCGGGGCAAGATGCTGGAAAACATGCTTTGTATCAATAACAGGAAAAGGATAGGTCATATTGAAAATCATGACATACATGTGATATATGCTTCCTTGTATTACCAATATTCAAAATTTCACATTTAACGGTGTGTTTGAAAGGGGACATACAGCACCCCCACATAATCTATTTTCCAACTGATAACGTTGGCACATAGGCTAAGATGAAGAGCCAAAATAACAGCTAAAACAATTTACCCAAAGTCTTCGAGTTCACAATCTCATGAAGACGCTGCTCCAAGGTGGGCGGTCCGGCTGCGCTCCTTGTCCAGGTCGCGCTTCAAGGCGTCAACAGTGGTGGACACGCCGTCTTGGTCGCGCTTCAGGGCGTCTTGGTCGTGTTTCAAGGCGTCAACAGTTGTCGACAATTGGGATATTTCCTACAAACGTGTATTATACGCACGTCAGAAAAACATGCAACAGCAAATTTTTGTACCCTCTTAAAAACAGAATGAGATGAGAATAGCTGGACAGCAGGCTTTATGGTACAAGACTGTTACCTGTTTGTTGCTGAACGTCAGAGGGGCGAGTCCCACGGCGCACAAGCTCAGTAGCACGGCGATGCCGGCAGCCAGGCAGCTGCGGCGGGCGCGGAGGAAGCTACAGACACCCCGGCGGCCGCTCGCTCCACCCGGATACGCGCGGTCTGGTAGGAAAACATATTTCGCGCGGGTTATCGCTTAAGTCAACTTACCAACTCAACATGTTAATCAATAGATATAGAACTTAAACGCTACATCAACAAAACAAAACAAAGCCAGAATTTTCATCCTTGCAAATCCTCCGAGATCTACAAAATATGTGTATAGTGATGCCCAGTTTCAACTAACTTACACGTATAAAACTCACAAGTATAAAATCCCATTAATCCATTAAAAGGTATTAATTTTGCAAATGAGGCCCAGGTTCCTACCTAAGGACCCTGCTTTTCACGACTGATGTCAGAAAACACAATATTTTTTCCAAGGACTAAAGGCCCGTTGTGCATGTGGCAGAAAAAGTGTACCTTTGACGAAGACGTGATTTCCATCGCACCGAATCCTGTGCTAGAACGTTCGCGTACCCTGCTGATGCATTTTACATGAGGGGCGTACAGTAAACAATGGAGGGATTTCTTGTTGTCATGAAATTTACCCATACAGCAAACTATGCAATAGTCAGTAAGTTAACATATACACTTAGAATATTTTGTATAGTCTGGGTACCCAGGCTATCTTTCGTACTGATAGTACAAATATCCACTGTAAAAGGCAGGTGTGAAAATCGCCGGTTACCTGCAGACGTTGCGTGACGTTTCACCTCCTCGGCGTCTTCGTACGTGTGTGAAGACGTGTCCTGGTCTTCCCGCTGCTTGTCAGAAGCGCCGTTGCCATGGCGGACACGCCCACGTGAACCACTCTGAGGGACGGGACGGGGTTGGGGCGGCCCGCTGGTTTGGCGGCTGTCGGGGCCGGAGAAAGGCGACCGGACAGGCTCTGCCTGCTCGTACATTTTGGCCGTACTGTGCAGACTTTATTGTTGCGCAGTGTATAACTGTGCAAAATTCATGAATATGGCAACTAACACCTTAATTAGTCTGACTTAGTAAGGCTACATATGCCCGTATTTGGAAGAATGACGTGGGATGAGGTGATGCAATAGCATTTTGTGTTTATGCAAGAGCCAGACTCATTTTCGTGGAAAAAGAATAAATATTTCTGGGCAGGTAGGGAGAAACATGAAAGAAATCTGTGTGCATGCACAGGCGTTGTTCATACATACATGAAGCAGACAAGCCCAAGCCCCCCCCCTCCCACACACACTTCTTAGGTTGCAGACAAAATAGTAGAAATCGTGTATATATATGACAGCGGCAGCAATACTTATTTTTTCCTCTTTGATTTTATATTCAGGATATGGCTGTCTTGTAGCCATTATATTTCTTCTATTAGCTAGGTGTAATGCCGAAGGATAGTTTACATGTTTA